GGGGGGGGGGGGGGGGGGGGGCCGGCTGGGAAAAGGCCACGAGGATGGCCCCATCACACTCCAGAGTCCAGGCAGTCCTGAACTGGGCGCCAGGAGGCTTGGATGCGTCCCTGGCTGGCTGTGCGACCTTGGAAAAGCCATTGTACTTTCCTGAGCCACATTTTCCCATCTGCATCATAAGGGTCCCGGACCGAAGGCTCTCTAAAACAAGGGTACACATTCTGAGTTCACTTCGTCTGGGTTTGACTCCCAGCCTGCCTCAGTCAAGGCTCTTAAAGCTTCCTTACCTTTGTGTCCTCATCTGTAAACAGGTGATGAAGAAACTACATTCCTCTTAAAATTACTGTGAACCGAGCTCGGTGGCTCCGCCTGTAATCCCGTGCTTTGGGAGGCTGAGATGAGTGGATTGCCTGAGCCCGTGGGTTCGAGACCTGCCTGGGCAACTTGGTGAGACCTCATCTCTACAATAAATCAAAAAATCAGCCGGGCGTGGTAGCGCACACCTGTAGTTCCAGCTACTTGGAAGGCTGAAGTGAAAGGATCGCCGGAGCCCAGCAGGTCGAGGCTGCGGTGGCCGGGAGCGGCCGCTGCACTCCAGTCTGGGCGACAGAGTGAGACTCCAACTCAAAAAAAAAAAAAAAAAAAGTTGCTGTGAAGTTTGAGAAAAGACACGTATGTCAAGAAGCCGGTAGTACGTGCTCAACAAATGTTAGCTATTGATTAATCCTTCCAGCACAAATAAGTCTAGGATTTAGCCGGCATTTCTGTGCCCAAAACAATGAGGTAGGCCCCATCCTGAGGAGCATCCTTACAGCCAAAGTTGACCCGCACACCTGCTGGCCACCTGAGAATGCTGGCTGACCTCACATCAAGTCGTCACTCCCCCACCTGGCAAGACTGAGGGATCAGTCTAGCTTCATCAGGTTCCCCAGAGTCCAAGTCTGGCCACACCCATGGGACTCAAAACTGAAGGGCTTTTGTCAGAGCTCCTAATTCTGCAGGGGAAGCTGGCAGGGCCACTCTGGTGTCTTCCGGGGTCCCTGTTTTCTCCCCTCCTTTCCCAGAGGTGTGTCAGGTTTCAAGGTTCCAAACCAGAGACTCTGGGCTAGAGCAAGTGACTCCCCTCAGCTCTGAAGGTGACCCAGTTTCTCTCACCAGACGGGTCTGGCGACTTCCTCTTAATGGGGTAGGTCCTGGGAAAGGAGCCTCTGACTTTTGCCTATTGGCTCCAGACCACTCATGGCTGTCCCATATAGGAAGAAATGAGCTACCCTAAGGTAGTTTGTTGGTGTTGAAGGATTTTAAAAGCAGGTGTGGTGGATTGGAAGATCAGGACTAAATGTGAGCTAGTGTAGGCATCAGCTTTTTGCTTTTTTGTTTGTTTGTTTTTGTTTTTTATTTTTAATTATTTATTTTTTGAGTTGAAGTCTCACTCTGTCGCCCAGACTGGAGTGCAGTGGCCGCTCCCAGCCACCGCAGCCTCGACCTGCTGGGCTCCGGCGATCCTTCCGCTTCAACCTTCCAAGTAGCTGGAACTACAGGCGCGCACTACCACACCCGGCTAATTTTTTGATTTATTGTAGAGATGAGGGCTTGTCAAGTTGCCCAGGTGGGTCTCGAACCCATGGGCTCAGGCAATCCACTCACCTCAGCCTCCCAAAGCGCGGGAAGCTTTTTGCTTTTTAAATTTTTTTTCTTTTTTAAGGAAGGGACAGACAGGCGGAAGGAAAGGACAGACAAGAGGAAGGAAGGGAGGAGAGAAGGAAAGGACAGATAGGAAGAAGGGAGAAAGGAGGGAAGGAAGGGAGGGAGGAAAGAAGGAATGGCCAAATGAGAGGAAGAGAGAAGGAAAGGAAGAAGCAGATAGAAGAAAGGGAGGGAGAAAGGAAGGAAGGGAGAAGGCAAGGGAGGGAAGGCGAGAGGTAGAGAAGAAGGAAGAAAAGGAGAAAGGAAGGAAGGGAGGGAGGAAGGAAAGAAGAAAAGGAGGAAGAGAGGGAGAAAGGGACAGATGGAAGGAAGGAGCTTTTTAATTTTTGTGGGTACATAATAATTGTACATACTAGGTGGCACTTCTGACCACAAGGACCCCAGACCTTTCTGTCCATGACATATTCCAAAAAGAAAAATTTTTCTCAGTGAGCATTTCTTGACATCTTTTCCTGGCCTAGATTTGACAGTCAAAAAATTCCAGTCCCACTGCTAATGGGTACAGAGTTTCTTTTGGGGTGATGAAATATTCTCAATCTTTTTTTTTTTTTTTTGAGTTGGAGTCTCACTCTGTCACCCAGGCTGGAGTGCACTGACCCGCTCATAGCCACTGCAACCTCAACCTATTGGGCTCAGGTGATCCTTCCATCTCAGCCTTCCAAGTAGCTTGAACTACAGGCACACGTCACCATGCCCGGGTAATTTTTAAAAATTTATTGTAGAGACGAGGTCTCGCCATGTTGCCCAGGCTGGTATCCAACCCATGGGCTCAGGCAATCCTCTCGCCCCTGCCTCCCAAGTGTTGGGATTACAGGCGTGAGTCACCACACCTGGCTGAAATATTCTAGATTTTAATAGAGACAGTTGCACAACTTTGTGAATATACTAAAACTCACTGAAATGTACACTTAAAAGGATGGATTTTATGGTATGTCAATTATATCTTAATTTTAAAATCTGTCCCAGAGGCAAAAGAGGTGGGAATACCAATTCTAGTGGAAAATTTTTGGTGACTATTCTCCCTTCCTATCAGTCCCTACCACCTGATCATGTTCTTTTAACCTTTTTCAAATTTCAAAGCCCATCTTTAGGTCAAAACTTGACTAGCCACCTTTCCTCTCATTTTAACACATATACATAGTTTTGGATATTGTTTTACCAACCCCTTACATTTATGTAGGTATATTTATTCAGTTCCGATTTCACATCTACTTGATCCTACCCCTGGGTTTGCAGCTATGTCCTGGGTTTCTTTTTTTTATTTATTTGAGTCGGAGTTTCACTCTGCTGTCCAGGCTGGAGTGCATGGCACGCTCACAGTCACCACAGCCTCCACCTGCTGGGCTCAGGTGATCCTTTCTCTTTTTTTTGCGTTGGAGTCTCACTCTGTCGCCCAGACTGAAGTGCAGTGCATGCTCCCGGCCACTGCAGCCTCAGTCAATCCTTCCGCCTCAGTCTTCCGAGTAGCTGGGACTACAGGTGCGCGTACCACGCCCGGCTAATTTTTGATTTATTGTAGAGATGAGGTCTCACCAAGTTGCCCAGGCTGGTCTTGAACCCACGGGCTCAGGCAATCCTCTCACCTCGGCTTCCTAAAGTGCTAGGATTACAGGCTTGAGCCACTGCGCCCAGCCTGTCCTGGGTTTATTTCTTATCTCCTCAGAGAGCTCCCTAAGAATGGTTACTTTGCTCCCTCTTCCCACAGTGATGCCAGCAAGGTTTCGTATACCAGAAAGTACTCAGAACCTAAGTTTAAAACTATCCTTCCAAGTGCCTGGAAAGTAGGTTTAGTGCCAGATCCTCTATTATGGAACTGGAAATACAGCTAGTCCTGAGATGAGGAAGGACTGTCTATACAGAGATTGGATTTGCACAGATCCACGCAACATCAACCCTATCTTGTCTACACTGCCAGATAATCTCTCAGGAAATGGAGCCTCTTGCAAAGATCCTCTCCCAAGAATTTGAGAGTTGTGGGGAAAATCTGCAACCTAAAATCCTCTAGAAAAGGTATCTACTCTTCTCTCTCGTGTGTAGTTACTTCAGAAGGCAATGTTCAAATTGACTGTAGATCCATATAAGTGATAGGGGACAAGACTGCCTTCTTAGAACCAACCAAGGCACCCTAGGGAAGCCAAGGCATTGGAGTCAGGCTGACCACTGTGGCTTCTTCCAGAAAAGCAAGGTACTCCTTCTTGCCACCACCACCCACTTCCCCCACCCCCCACACATCCAATATCCAAATGTCCAGTGCCTTTTCAGGAAAACCTCCTAATTTCAGAGGCTTGCACCAAGATTGCTCTTCTGTCAACAGCATCCCCACTCCTGCTTCTTCCTAGAGAACAGAGTCAACTGTTTCATACCTTAATCATCACAGCAATACATATTTTCACCTTTGTTTTGCAAATGAAGAGACTGAGGCTCAGAGCAGCTAAATAACCTGAGTCAAGGTTACACAATTACTTATGTGCTGGGAAGGAACAGAGTCTGACTCCAAGGCCCATGATTTTAAATCTACATAGCTGTTTTCAAACCCTGTTCCCCAGAAACTGCCATGGGGCAGGAGCCCAGTGGCCTGGGTTTCCCATCTTCTTTGTCTTTTTCGTTTTTGAGTTGGAGTCTCACTCTGTCAC